GGCAGTAAGAAGGCCCTGAGCTGCGACCTGAATATCCCGAGGGCAGGCACAGAAGGCGCAGCAAAGGGAATACTATACTTGCCTAAGAATAAGGTGTAATGAGTGCACAGGGACGCGTCCAGATTGCGACTGATGCGGAGAAGCGGGGAAGGCCGGGCTGAGTGCCTCACTCACTGCGCCCTCCTGCGCGGTGGCGCTCGATCCCGTCTTCTGACTGGTCTTCTGTAAACAGCCATATAAATATGTCTATATACACATTTTCAAGTGACGAGGCTTGTACTCAATCACAACATACAACACACACACAATGTCTGTGCATGTGGATGGGCATAATCATGTATGTAAGTGTGTCCATGTGGGTGCGTAAGCGCATAACCACCGCTGTATGCTGTGAAAACTTCGCTTACTGAATTGGAATTAATGTGAGAGCCGACCTCAACTGACTCAGTAAGGGCGTTGAGCGGGCATGGTCGCGGTTGGAAGGAACAGGCTTAAATGCGAGAGCGAAGAAAACGGGACGATGAAAAGCGGAGACATGAAAGAGATAGGTGCACACATCTACCACTCGCTTAGTGTCTTATCTCTTTGGGGTGTGCTTATAGTGGGGTGAGAAAGTCCACTGTATGGCTTTCACTCTCTCTTGGATACACACGTGAATCCCTTTTATCATTATGCCTTTTCTTACCTCTTGTGGTGAAGCCTCCTGAGACGACTCCTTCGCCTCCTCCTACGTCTCAGGCAACCATCCTTACCCTGTCACCCGTTGATTGCTCCACAATGGGCTCGTCTACAGTGGAACTTCAAGGCCTTCGTTCTCACGAGACCTCTCTTCTTACAGCTCATCCTGAATATATATATATATATAAATATAATATATATATATATATATATATATATAATAGATATATATATACTACACACACACACACACATTTAGTACTATGTATATGTATATATATGGCTGTATACATGTATATATATGCTTATGTATATATGTATGAACGTATGTATATATAGGTATTTATGTATGCATAATATAATTGTAATGTATGTATGAATATAGTATGGTATATGCAACACACGCACACACACGACACGACCACACACACGAACAGCGCACACCCAACCTCACACCCGACCCTGGGTGGGGGGTGGTCGGGGCACACACACATCACACAGCCACGCACACCGACACACACACACAACACACACACACGCAGCACAGAACCACACACACACACACAGTGTGGGAGAGCACACAGTAGCCATGTGCGTTTTATGAATGGATGAGTATATGACGAGTATTACATATATGGGGTAGTAGTAAAGGAGTAGGGGGTAGTATATAGGATATAGAGCTATAGTAATAGGGGGCGTAGAGTCAGGGTAGGTAGGGTAAATGTTGTATTTTAGTAGTATAGTATAGTAGGGTAATAAGTATGATAGTAGTTATATAGTAGGTATAGTATAGTGATATAGATACTAGTATGGTAGTGGTAGAAGTAGATAGATAATATAGTAGTTGATTAGTATATTTATGGGAGTAGGTATATAGTTATATAGTATAGTATTTTTATATAAATATAAACTATAGTGATAGTACGGGTATGTAGTAGTGATATATTGAGTATTAATATATAACTATTAAATAATTTAAATATATATATATTATAGATAGGGGGTATATATATAGTGATAGGTATATAGAGTGATATATAGTATATATAGGGATGAGGTAGTTATATATAGTATACGCATACATACATATAGTTTAGGGGGGGATATCTATATATATAACATACTAGGTGGTCTGATAGACGTGCATTTCAATGACGAGTACATATATATATATTAGTAAGTAGATGAGTGGCTATATATATATACTAATATATATATAGTATATATGGTGGATATATTATTATAGGGGTATATATAGGGGGTTAGTAATTGAAGGGTTAGGGATATGGTGGAAAAGGGACTGGCAGAAAGTGGGTGATGAAGGCAATTATAAGCTTTTTCCTATTAGTTCCGGAGTGAGGCATGACTGTGATCTTGCACCAATATTTTTCAACACTTGCATAGACTGGGTAATGGGCAAAGCTACTCTTCAGAGTCATTGCGAAGTCAACTCTAGACAATAGATCAAGTTTACTGACCAGGACTGTTTCTATTCTACCAATAGTCTCTGGAAACTCTAGTGGGTGGCTCTAGATGCATTTTAGTAATGAAGTGAAGCCCCTGGACCTTAAGGTCTCTGAACCAAGATCCAGGATTTGGGGGCCTGCTAGGATAGACCTGTTTGGTCAGTACTCAGACTATATGGGCACCTGGATCTATTTCCCACAGGGATACCACCAGGTTGTCTCAGTTCAATATAGCCCAGGTGGAGGGGGCCTGTGGGAAAATCAAGGAAATCTTGCCTTGGGCAGGATGGATCAGACCTGTTTGTGAAGAGTCCCCCCCTCTCTCTCTTTCTGTTCCTCCTCCCTCCATTCTTCTCTCTTTATCTATTTCCCCCTCCCCTCTCACTCTTTTCCTCCTTCTCCCATTCCTCCTCTGTCTCAGTCTGTCTTTCCCCTTTATATGTAGTATCACACACACGCACACACACACACACATATATAATTATTTATATATTATATGTATATAATATATAATATATATATATAATGTATAATATTATAATATATATATATTATAATATATATACACACACACACACACACACACACACACACACACAACACACACACATACATATATATATATATATATATATTTACACATATGCATATATATATATACGTATATATATACATATATATGATAGGTATAATATATATATATATATATATATATTTATATATTATATATATATATATAGGATATAATAATATATATATATAATATATATATATAATATATATATATATTATATATTATATATATATATATATATAAGCATATAATTATGGTATATATATATATATAGATTATATATATGAATACATATATATATATAATATTATATATATATATATATATATGAAGTACTATATAGTATATATTATTATAATATATAAGTATAGTATATATGATAATATATATATTATAATATATATATAGTATATACTATATATGTATATATATATATATATATTATATATATTATTGATATATATATATTATATATATATATATGTATATGTATATATATATATAGTATATATTATATTATATATATATATATATATATATATATATAGTGTAAATGGGATATAGATATATATATATATTATATATATATATATATTATATAGTATATAAGTGTATATGTAATGAGTATATAATATTGTTCTGAGATAGTATAAGTATATATAGGATAATATACATATACATATCATATATTATATATATTATATATTATATGTATATGTAGTAGTATCAGTATAGGTATAGGTATAGTAACATATAGATAATATATATATAATATTTGTAGGTATAGGTAGTATATATTATTGTATAAGTAGGGATAGGGTGATAGTTATGAGTAATATATACAGGGGCACACACACACACACGACATATAGTAATTATATATATCGAGAGTAGGGGTAGGTAAATAGTAGGGTAGGTAGTAGTATGAGATACTTAGGATTATATATATTTATAGTACAATACGATATATATACATAGACATATATATTAGTACAATGTATATATATAGTGAGATAAGTATATATATATGTATATAAGGTATTAGTATATAGTATAAATTATTATATATATACATTATATATGTATATAGGTAATATGTGATAAGTATTATATATACATTTTAGTATATATAGGATATAAATGATATATTATTAGTGTATAGTATTGGTATATATTGATAATACGTATAGTTATTATATAATATAGATATATAGGATGGTATATGATGTATACTTATATAATGGTTATGATATATATATATATATATTATATATATATAATATTATATGATTATATATACTATACATATATATGATATATATATAATTATATATATATATATTATATATATATATATATATAGTATATGTATATAGTATATATATATATTATATGAATTATATATATATATATATAGGAGATATATATGTATATATATATGTGTATATAGTATATATAATATATATGTATGTTACGAATATATACACATGCACACACACACACACGTGCGCACACGCACAGACACAGACACACGTGCGCACACGCACACACACACACGTGCGCACACGCACACACACACACGTGCGCACACGCACACACACACGTGCGCACACGCACACACACACGTGCGCACACGCACACACACACACAATGTGCGCACACACACACACACACACACGTGCGCACACGCACACACACACGTGCGCACACGCACACACACACGTGACACACACACGTGCGCACACCGCACACACACGCACACACGTGTGCACACGCACACACACACGTGCGCACACGCACACACACACGTGTGCACACGTGCACACACACACTGCGCACACGCACACAACAACACGCACGCACCACATGACACAGACACACTTGCGCACATGCACACACAGACATGCGCACATGCACACACACACACGTGCGCACATGTACACACACACGCACACACATATTTATATATGTATAAAATATATGAAAAGAAAAGAAAGAGAAAAACTTTCTTTATTCTATGCCATGGCTGTACATGACTTCCAAATGATTGGGTTTTATACTGCTACTCAGTGTTTCCTATGCTGCACTAGCATCGGAAATCAATTAAGATAATAGTTAACATATCACAAATGATTTCAAGGCAAACAAAATTAATAATCCAGATTAATTTTCCAACTGGACAATGGTAAACTAACAAACAAACAGATTACAAACAATAGAAAAAAATATATTGTTTAATCTATCAAGTAAAAACAATAAGCTGGTCAACAAAACAAAGTAAAGAACACTAAGTTCATTATTTTATTTTTAAAAGCATATACACTTGTATTCATAGTAGAAAAGATCATTTATTCATTAAAATATGTTACAATTACCCATCACAACAAACACTGGCTAATTACTTGAAACAGCAATCAAATAATTCAGCAATCATAAAATATCAACATATTTTCTTTATGACAATATAAAATACATTTCACAAAAATAAGATATTATCACAGAAATTAGGAACAATATCACCATTCACATCTTATATCTTTGCATATATTTTGATAAATATGTGTACAGGAGTGTATATTTCAGACATTATCATTTCCAGCTTTCCCAATAGTGTTGAGCATTATCAGAATAAATCCCTCATTGTGAAGTTGCAATCACCTGAATAAATCATTTTTCAAGTGAATGGAGTGGAGTTTCCTTTCATTTATGAATTTATCTTACTTTGTCATTATCATTAACATTATCATTTACAAAACCCCATCATCAAAAATGACTTTAAGGTAGCAAACTCCACATGGCTCTTTGCTGACTAGCAGCAGCTTCAGTATCTGAATAGTCTAGGAAATTGGCTGTCCACATGCCAACACCACTCATACCATTCATGATGGCCAACATGTACTTGTAGGTCAGACTTCTCTCATCATCATAGCGCATTTGACGGTACCCACCTGTTGAGTTATCCTGAAAAATATGATAAAATTACAATTTAGAACTGCTATCATCCAGATCAAGATCCTTGTTTCCATTCAAGCATGACTTCATTCAACGAAAAAGAGAAAAAATTATTTGTTTCTATTATAAATAACACAAAGTTTCAGGTAGTAAAAATGTTAAATAAAGTTCTATTTGCTTATTACTTTTGCTCATTAAAAACTCCACTCTACATTTATACTCAAATGAATATATGTAAAAAGTTTAGATAACATTGATATTCTTTGTGGTTTGTTCTGCAGCTAAACAAAACGTACAAAGAAAGTAGCTGTTCTAGAAGAATTATTTATCAAACAGAGCAATGTTCAGTTTTGCCAAATGATTTTGTTTATGAACTAAGAAATGTCAAAACAGTTGGATCAAATTAATAAATACAAAAAAGAAATTTCATAACTAGCTACAAGTGAGCAAGGAAAGAGAATATAGGGTGAAATAAAGAGATTGCAGCCGAGAGTGAATGAACAGCAAGATGAAACACAAAATACACACAAAGAAGAGAATATGGTCAAAGGAGGAATGCATTACTTTACATAATGAAACAATAAATAAAGGGACAAGGGGAAAATATCTCTCCCTGGCCTTGATTTCACTTTCAACAGCACATTATTTTGCACTGGTTGAATATATAAGTTGTCAATGAAAAGTGCTAGTAAAGCAAGTAGCTACTTGATAAAAATAAAATCAATGCCATAAGTAATACTGTCAAGCTGATGACTTCATCCTAATCAAACCAGATACTAGCTTTCTCTGAAGACCATGCATAACACTATCTCCAGTTTAGAAACAAGGTGACTGAAGAATTAAGTAGGTGATATATGGCTTACAACTGGTAAGCATTTAAACTAAGTTTCTTTCACTTATTTCCCTCAGGAACTCTAAACTTTATGTCTACCAAAAAAGCTTCTCAACAAAAAGAAAGAAAATTTGACACATATTTCAAATCTACCAATCTATTTACTTACGTACATCTGCACAGGCAACTTAACCACATGCCAATGGGGAAGGTATGTGCATACATGCCATGCCAACTGTGCCTTTAATTTAGTATTTGTTTTTACATATAAATGTCTCCAAAGTACTAGGTTGCAAAAGAGCCAGTTACAATAAGTACTTGTCTCACCTGTTTACCCTTTTCCTTGATTTTCGATAATATTTTCTAATATTCAATACTGCTGTTAGTAATGTCAGTAACAATATAGTAATTATAATGCTTATAACACAATAACACTATCAATATTAATAGAAATCATAAAGAAAAGGTGAGGTCACACAATTTACGAATTGACTCCTTTGTGCCTTATCACTGGCAGAGCCATCTATGTGCAGAAACATTAAACAAAACAATACTAAAATGAATGCAACATTTTTCCCAGCAGCATTGGGTAAATATGCCTAACTATATACGACTTTATATATATTTGATATATGACTATATACACTTACTTTGATCAGTTTCTGAAGATGAAAGACCAAACATGCAAAAGTAGCTAAAACATCTTTGAATGAAACAGGATACTGTAATCTACTTATATAGTTTTCTACTTGAAACAATAGTAATGTTACTGGACCAACTCTAAAAGTAAGAGCAATGTTTAATCCATTTAAAAACAATCTAATAAGGTTGAGAGGACCATCATATATATCTTGACAGAAGTCTGCCTATGATATTCTATCTATCGTTAATTTTTTCCTTATTCAAATATATCAAGTTTTACTAATCCCTGTTATTTTGTATAGAATAGGACATGACTGAAACAAATACTGGTGAATATTAATTTATTTTCAATAGAACAACGTGGCAAATTTTATCACAAATATTGTCCACTTTGCACAGAAAATCACTTTGCAAACATTTATATCTAATCAAAATATAATTAAAAGAGCTTTGGCATTTAATATTCACATCTGTAATTTCATTTTTCCTATACTGATACCTTACATGAGCTAGAATTTCCATAAACTGCTTATAAGACAGGGAGTTTTACATTTGCGGGGAGTGGTGCAAAGTATGCACATTTAACATGACAAAGATTTTAACAGTTTCTGAGGATGTTAATAATCACAGATACCACTTTTGTATTAATGTAACTAGGCAGTGTACTGAGCTACACTGATGGTGGCAAGAGTCCCCACATAATTTTTCTGTGTTGTTCGGCAGTTGCTGAAGCAGAGTAGTCAAGGTAATTGACTGTGAAAATTCCAACGCTCAGGCCCCTTGACAATGCCATTGCATATTTATAAGCCAAGCTTCTCTCATCATCATAACGCATTTGGTGCATCTGACCCGTGCTGCTATCCTACAGAAAAAAATGAACCTTCACCAGATGAACTACAAACTCTTAGCCTTATGAGGTAGGATTTTGAATACTTTGACAAAGCATGCTATTAGCTTTAAGCATTTTAAATAAAACAAATTATTTTTTCTGATCTATCTTCAAGCACTACTTTTGATATCAAGGAGTTCTATGAACATTACCAAGTTCTTTCTCACCATACATGATTCGTTACTCACCTTGACATTGAACCAAGGACTAAGAGAGTTCTTGTCCCAGTGGTACTGTGCATGATTTGCCTCCATAGTGCTGATCATATAGCTGTACGGATATTCCTTTCCGGCTGCGTCACTGCAATTTACACCTCGGAAAGGGACTTCCTTAATGAAACACGTTCCATTCTGCAAATTTGTTGTGAGAGGGAGAGGGAGAGGGATAGGGGGAAATTAATAAAGAATTAGAAACTTGCATAGACACAAATACCTCCAAACATATGTGCAGACATTCAGATTTACTAATCATATGAGCTGCATACCTTGTCCAAGTTAATGCATGGGTAGTTGTACCCATACCAGGGAACACCCAGGATCATCTTCTGGGGAGGAATACCCAAATTTATGTATGACTCTATCCCTTGTGCTGTCTTGTAGATACCTGAATTTGGTCTAATCAAAAGTTGACCAATTAAAGAAAACTATATTATTTATTTAATTTATTACTTGTAAATATAGTATTGATAAGGAAAACACTTGAAATATATGATTCCATTATTACCATGAGTATGAACTTTGGCAACTGTTCAAGATAAATTCAATCAAACATCTCTTACACTAATGAAACCTTTTAATAGATGTTTACTTCATTACTTATGAGAGTTCTTAGCTTTCCTTAGCAAAATATTGGTATACTCTATATTGTTAGTAAAATGATGTGCTGTGAATATCTTACCTGGCAGTACAAGGGCCCTCTAAGATCTGACTCTGCTCATCATAGGCCATAATGAATATCAGATCACTGTAATTAGCAATGGCTTTGTACTCATAGAATCGTCCATCTATACCGTCTGCTGACCATGCAACATCAAAAGATACCTGCAACATGTGTTATATAAGGGTTCTGTTATCACTCCTGCTTATATTTCTGTACCTTTTGATTTGATGCCAATCAGTTAATCCAAAGTCATCAGGGGTAGCTTGTAAGTGCTTGGCATGGCCAATGACTCAGCTACAAGTATTACAAATCTCACCTGTTTAACCATTTGCTTGGTTTTCAGATTTTTTTCTGGTATCCTATTTTGCTGAAGTCAGTAATATCATAATAATGTCCATAATAACAATAACAGCATCGATATTGATAACTTACATAAAAAATATATTTTTTCTGCAAACTAAAGGAAAGGTGAAATTAGGTGAGGTCACAAGATTTACTAATTGACTCCTTTGTAGAGCCATCTTTGTGCAGAGACATTTCACGAAACAAAAACACTGTGAATACTACATTTTCCCAGTGACATTGGGTTAACATGATAAACCTTGTCATATATATTAAAATATCCTTCATAGAAGAAAAGTTTATATTATATACAGCACAAATATATGGGGTTTTGGAAGGAGAATGGCAACAAATAATTCAGGAATTCTTGTTTAAAGCAATACTACCCTGCAATTCCTTATGCCATCTGATTCTTCCCCCTCTGTTCCAGTTATCACATCTGTGTTTGCATAAAAGCTATAAAATTATCAACCAGTTTATATAGCCTGGAAGTGGTACAAGACCCACAGAGTATGCAAATTAGATTGTAATCTCTCCTTTTCACAAATTTGAGAATTGTATGTGAGAGGCAATCTTACTTTTCAAAATCATCTTGGGAATAAAGAAATCTGTGGAAGTTTTACAAAGGGTTTGTTTCAATGTTGTCATTACATTCCACTGTAAATATCATATACATGGCATAGTTGTAAGTCTATACCGGATATTAAATAAAATTTCTTTCATATAATCATGTGGCTGAGGATAAAAACAGAAGCTCATGATACTGCACCTGTGATCCAGGCATGACGGAGTGAAAAACACTTGCAGTCTCTCGGACAAGGCTTGTGAGCCCTTTTTGCTCTGTAGTGTTTGGTTCAATGGCATCCTCATAGTCAATGTTTATCCCATCAAGGAACTTAAGGGCCGTGTCACTGGCTTGCATGTTAACCCAGTTTGCCCGAGCAGTGGCATTGGGCAAGTTGCTTGTTGGGAAATTACCTGTAACAGGCACTGGCTNTGGCGGGGGTTAGGTTGTGTTGAGAGGGAGTAGGAGGGAGGGGTTTAGGGGAAATATGAGCAGGAGGGGAATGGATATCGGCAGTCACTTCGATTATGGAGGGGGCATGAGGTGTGGAATTCTGTATCTCAAGCACATAGCTTTGAATGTCATAGTTTCTGCAGTGGAGTTGGTTGGTAAGACAAAGGTTCTCTTATGAGGTGTGTGTGTGGGAGGGGGGAGGAGACTGGTGTCTGAGGAATGAAGGTAAAGGTAAGTGAAGGTGGGTGTGCAATAGGGGAAGAAGGGGTGGAACGTTTAGGTTGTCTGCTGCGGGTAGTGCGGGGAGGGAGAGGGGATGGTGTTGGGGCTGTAGTTGAGATTGGAGTGTATGGGCTTAGAATAGCAAAAGAATTTGACTGGGGTAGGTAGAATGTAGAAGTGGAAGTGGGGAAGTAAGTAGGTATAGGGGAGGGTGTAGGAACATCTTGAGGTGGAGGGGGGGGGGGGGGCAGAACGAGCGACATAACTACAGTAGGGAGTATAAGAGAAACCTTGTCGGCTTCCTTCGTGTCTGGCTTCACGTAGAGTGAGACCATCTTTGTATGAGAGCTGCTACATCAGACTCGAACTTGTAAGTGGGACAGCCTCTATAAAATACATGTAGGGGCCGCCGCAGTCAGTGTATAATGGTTAATGGTTAAAAGCGAAATAAATGTACTAGACATCTAAGGTCATATAGCACTATAGGAAGGTATAGTAAAGGGTGATGTCAGGTGATAATTGCTATGCGTCAACTATCTAGAGTAATGATGGAAAGTTGAAGATGGGTAAGGGGGTTGATGAGGGAAGGGGTTATGGTGGTTTAGGTAAAGGAATTAGATCAAGGGAAGGATATTTATGCGTCTGAGGAAGAACAGGTTGTTATAAGAAGCAAGGATATGATGTAAATCTGGTCTGTGAGAACGGAAACCGCGAATATTCAATGGAAGAGAGCTATATCTTAGTTATTTTATGAGTGAAAGCGCCGGTAGGTGTTGGGGAATCTAGGGGATAAGGAGCTTGGGAGTGTTGTTACATGAGTGATTCCCGTGTGTATCCGGGAGGGAGTGAAAAGGATGGAGGAGATGGAGGAAGGGAGAAAGTACGTATAGTTGGAGTTGTCTTGGGAGGGGTTAGGAGGAAGGGGTGCTATGAGTAAGAGGGGGTGGATATCAGGAGGATGGATATCGATGGTGGACGGAATTGAGGGGGTTAGGTTGTGGTGAGAGGGAGGAGGAGGAAGAGGTGTAGGGGGAATATGAGTAGGACAGGTATGTATATCGGCAATCACTTCAAGTGTGGAGGGGGCATGAATTGTGGAATTTTGTGTCTCAAGCGTATAGCTTTGAATGTCTTCCATAGTTTCTTCAGTGGAGTTTGTTGGAGAGTTTTGTGGGAGAAAGGTTTTCTTATGAGGGGGGGGGAGAGGAGACTGGTGTCTGAGGAGTAAAGGTAGGTGGAGGTGAGTGTGCGGTAGGGGAAGAAGGGGTGGAACGTATAGTCTGTCTACTGCGGGTAGTACGGGGAGGGAGAGGGGATGGTGTTGGGGCTGTCTACATGTTTCTGGAGACATTCTTTGAAAGAGCAGTGTTGCCTGAGTAAGGAGCTGTAGCAGGGATCACGAAAAATCGGTCCTATTTAGCTGGGCTAAACAGAGCATTTAAAATATTTGTAGGGTTGGTGGTGGTAGAAGGTTGGGGGCGTGTGAAAGTGTGTTGTTGAGGGGTAGTATTACAGGAGAGATGGAAAATAAGGCTGTAAGGTAGTAATAAGGGAGGTTGGGGTGTTTGATGAAGAAGGTTGTAGGGGTAGAGGTGATGAAGTTGATGAAGTTGGGAGAAGGGTAGGAATGCCTTCTGGAAATTGACTCTGCTTGGGTGGGTAATGCACTAGTAGGCATTGAGGAGTGGGTAGTAGTTTCAGTGTTCGGAGTCGTGGTCAAAGGAGAGCCTGGGGTTGGGAAGCCGTTAGAGTCTGAATTGGTGGGGCTATTTGATGAAGGGACAAGCGTCATTGTCTTTAATATGGGTATTAAGTCATTACTGACCATGGGAAGCCTTGATTATGTAGGGAAAATAAACAATCCACCCCTCACCCCAGGGTATGGGCTAGACAACTAAATCAGGGGAATACTGTGCCCATGGTTCCCGCAGGCCGTTCAGGACTAGCACAAGGTCAGCCTTTTATCCTTTCAGCACGGCTCTTACACCTTAGGAACTAGATAGTAGAAGGGGTTGGAGAAGGGACGGACACAAAAAGCTGGATGGGGAAAAGGCCATGCAAAATTAGTTGAGTCGAGGGCTGAGCGAAGGACTGTTTTGGAATAAAGAGAAAAACTTCGTCGTCGTGCTTCCTGTCTGGCCTCACGTAAGGTGGATCTAGCTTAAATCTGAGGACTGCTACCTCACATTCGAGCTTCTAAGCAGGGCAGCTCCTATGAAACACATTAAGGGAGTCTCCGCAATTGGCACATGCACGTGACTAAGCAGGGTAATTTGAACGGTCATGACCAGGTACATAGATTGCAGCGGGCTGTGGAGCGACAGTGTTTGGCTGGGTGGCCAAACCGCCAACATTTCTGACATTGACGAGAAAGGGGTCGATATGGTCGGCCATGATAAGACAACCCACCAATATAAACCTCATGGGGAAGGTCTCGTCTATGGAAGTTAATCTTGGCAATATTAACGTTGGCCTCTAGGAGGACGAGTGTAACACTGCACTGCCACTGCATCCCATTCACAAAGTCCTTGTTATAAATGGGACAACATTTGGGGGAATATAAACAGTTCCAATACAGTTATTAAGAGTTGGGTGAGGTTCGGCAGAAATGTATTTGTCGGTAAGGTCAGTTAGGGTTGATAGTGCACGAGTTTGGGCTTCAGATGTAACCGTGACAAGGCGTGAACGATCAGAGCGACTGCGAAAGGTAACCTTGCCTTCTTTTTTCTGGAGTCACTGCTGAAAGAGAAGGGTATTCTCAGAATAGGGGGCTGTGGGGGGGATCACAAAGAATCGATCCCACTTGGCTGGGCCAAAGAGAGTACTCAGAAGGTTAGCAAAGATAGAGGCAGTAGAAGGACGAGGGCGAGAGGATGATGGGGTGGTGTGGAGGTCTGCGGGGGGGGGGGGCATAAGAAGAGTAGTAATAAGGGAAGAGGGGGTTAACATTGAAGAGGGTTGTGCAGCAGGAGAAGAGGAGAATGTTGGAGATGAGGCAGAGCTGTTTTCTGGGGGTTGAGGTAATAACCTGGGTGGGTGTTTCAGAATGGTTAGAGTTGTTCGTAAGCGTCAAAGAGGTGGTATTAATATCAGTAGTCGGAGCCGTGCTCAGAGGGGCAGGGTCTGAAAACCAAAATCAAATTTAGATTGGCTATTTGATTAAGGAGCAAACCTTAATAACCTATTAAGGGTAAAAATCTTTATTATTGGCCATGGTGAGCCTGAATAAAATGGGGAAAAGAAACGGTCTACCGTTCAGGGTCGCAATAAGGGATTATGGGTAGGCAATTAACCAAGGGAATACCGTGCCCATGGCTCCCGAAGGCCGTTCGTGACTGACACAAAGCTAGCTTTACATCCTTTCAACACGGCTCTCACACCTTAGGAATGGGATAGAAGGGAATAAAGGAGATACGGAAGAGGAAAGGAGAGAAGAAAAGACCAAGCAAAATTAGCGAGGGCTGAGGCCCAAGGGAGAGTGATCCCTGACATTGGGCAGTCCTCGTCTCCTACGCCCTCCCACGACAACAACGAACAAGGTATTGGGTGTGTGACTGGGGAATGAATTGGGACATTGTTCAAGGAAAACAGAGGTGGCTGTTGGAGAAATAGGAGAAGAATCCAGGGGATGAGAAAAGGGGACTGGGGTAAGGGGTGAAATATCAGGAAGAATGTCTGGAGGGGAGGGATCCGGAGAAGGACACTGTTGTGACAGATGAGATCCGTGTGAGTATTCAGGTGGGAGTGATAGAGAGGATGAGGTATGTTGGGAGGGTGTAGGAGGAACTTGAGGAGGAGGAGGGTGGATATGGGCAAATACTTTAAATGTAGAAATAGAAACGGATTGGAGGGTGGATGAAGGAGTGTTCCCTTGGGTCATCTTTAGGAAGTTTTGGGTCTTCAAGAGTTTCTGAAGGGGAGTTGGGTGAAGAGGACTGAGAAACTAAGGTTCTCTTGTGAGGAGGAGAAGAGGGGATAAATATCTGAGGAACAGAAGAGGAATGTGTGTGAGAGAACGTGGTAGAACAAGTTGGAGTGAAACGTTTAGGTTGCCTGGTACAAGTGAGGAGGGGTAGGTATCTGGGAAGTGGTAGAAATTAAAGTATCTGGATTTAGATTGGAAAATTAATTTGACTGGGGGCAGGGCGAGTAGTGGTAGGATGGTTCAGGTTATGGGGAAGAGATACTGGGGGAGATGCAGAAACATGTCGTCGTGAATCCTGTCTGGCCTCATGCAGGGTGCGGCATAGTCTGAATCTGAGGACTGCTAACTCACATTCAAGCTTATAGGCTGGGTAGTTCCTTTAAAATACATTAAGAGAGTCTCCACAATTATCACATGTCCGTGACTGAGCAGGATAAACTGAACGGCCATGAGCAGGTTGGGCACATAGAGGGAACGACAGTATTTGGTTGGGTGGCCAAAACGTCAACATTTCTGACATTAACGAGGTATGGGTCGATATGGTCAGACATGGTAGGACAAACCACCAATAAAAACCTCACGGGGGAGATGTCGATGGAAGTTAATCTTGGCAATATTGACGTCGGACTTCCGCTGGTTTCTGAGAGGAATAGTGTAATACTGTACTTCCACTGCATCATATTCAGCAATGCAGGTAAGTAGGTCATTTTCCGCCTGACCAGTTCTTGTTGTAGATAGGAAAAACATTTGTGGGGATAGAGGCAGTTCCAGTACATGTATTAAGAGAGGGGTGAGGTTCAGCAGGAATGG